GTAACCACATTGGTAGCGGTAATACCGCGGTCAACTAACCGGTTGATTTTTATGCCAGTGTAACCAAGCGGAATAATTGTCCAGTTAAGCAGTACGGATCGGATTGAAAATATAATAAAGATAAGAATCAATAAGACTGTCAGTAGTTTAATCACTGTTGGTGACATTCTTCTTGACATCAAGTCTCTCCTTTTGGGTGAGATCGCTGCTTACCCCTGAAAATCGGCCAGTTGTGCATTTTGGCGAAGACTAACATTTGATGTTAATACAAGATGTTACAAATCCACCTAAACAACGCACCAGCTTTAAACCGAAGTTATGCAGCGGTCGTGGGTTGGTGAAAAACACCGCACTGATAACCTTTTGAGTTATTTTGCGCAGATGAAATGAGCGTAGAATATGCTATCTTTTTTACTTAGAGTATTTATTTATTCATAGGTAAGGCTGATCATTAAACAGCTTTTCTCACACTTCATGGTGGTACCGTGATATATCTCAACTACTGAACATAATAACTTTGCTGTGTTGACCGCATAATATGCTACGCATATCATGCCCTGTATTTTATCGATCAATAAAACAGCTTGATACCTCATAGGGAAACGCGGATTAATTCGATGATGCGAGCAAAGCACCAGGAGGACGGAACGTATAAATCTATACATATCATATAGATAGAAGAGATTTCTAGTACCACCCGACAACTGGATTTGCCGCAAAATTGATTTAATCCGTGTTTCCACAGAGACTATGCTCCACCAGTCGTTTGATCGCAGTTTACTCTGCCTGTGGCACAACTCCTTCATCGGCCAGAGAATGGCTGTGTTGCACAATGGCCAGAATCATCTTCCGGGTGATGGTGCGCTCGGTGCTGATTGCATAAAAATGCTCTGATAATTCATCAACTTCATGTAGACAGACCACATTATATTGTTGTGATACCGTTTGTGCCACAACACGCGGCACTGGAAAAACACCGTAACCAGCCTGACCAAAAGCGCTCATCAGTGCACCATCATCAAACTCCCCAAATATCTGCGGATACAACCGGTGATAACTCAGCCAATGCTCCATTTGCCTGCGTAACACGGCATCTTGGCCTGGCAGTAAAAAAGGGACATCCTGCAAATCTTCTGGAAAGCATTTTACTCTGGCTGCCAGCGCAGCTGTCCCCATCAGGCTAACCGCACTTTTCATTAGTAAATGCGAATAACCCCGTATGGACAACCCAACCGGCATAGGCCTGTCAGACAAAATCAGATCCAGCTTATGCAACGCCAGATCAGCCAGCAGCAACTCCAGCTTACCTTCCTGGCAAACCAGAGAAACCGGCTCTTTCATATCCGTAACCGGTTTTAACAATTCCCTGACCACAATTTTAGACAATCCATCTGCAATCCCGATGCGCAGCCGTGTGACATTTGGCAGCTGCTGATGCTTGAGCCGCTCGGACAATTTATCAGCCAGAGCAAAAATATCATTGGCATAATCCAACACCACCTCCCCCATCGGCGTGAGAATCAGGCCACGCCCAGCCGGCTCAAAAAGTGCAACACCTAGACGCGATTCCAGCAAATTAATCTGCCCACTAATAGTCTGTGGCGAAACATCTAGCTCGGCTGATGCCTTCACAATACTGCCGCAACGGGCCACGGTCCAGAAATAATGCAGATGGTTGAAATTAATATTATGCATACGAAATATATAGACTATTTTAAAACTCAATCGACCACATAATCAACTTTAAATTGAGTATTAACATATAAAAATCGATTTTATTTGTCAATTATATCCCATACAATCATGCCAAATCAATCGGTTTTTATTACTGGAGGATAGTATGAAGATAATGATTCACGCCAATGGTTGTAGTACAACCCCTGTTTTGGAAGCTTACGTTCACCAACGACTCCGATTCGCCTTGATGCGCCTAATCAGCCACCCAGATCAGACCATCACCCTAACCCTGAGTGACGAGAACGGTCGCAATAAAAAAGGCATTGATAAACTTTGCAGAGTCAGTATGGTCATCCCTAATAAATCACCGATCATTATTAGATCCAGTTCAGATGACTTTTACAAAGCCATCGACAGTGCTGCAAAAAGACTACGCCAAACCATTAGCCGTCAGTTAAAAAAACCCTTAGCCAGCATTAAGCGAAAAAACATTAAAGCTGATGTATTGCAACAGACCTTGGTTCAAGCTGAGTTTCAGTAACCCGATATTTTGTCCTTTGAAAGGCGACACCATGAAAAGAATTTTATTATTTCTGGCAACGAACATAGCCATTATGCTCATACTTTCGATCACGCTACAAGTGTTGGGCATTGAGCCATACCTGACAGCCTATGGCCTGAACTACGAATCGCTGTTGGTGACAGCAGCCATCATCGGTTTTGGTGGATCGTTCATCTCACTGGCCTTGTCCAAAACCTTGGCCAAAATGTCAACCGGTGCTAAAGTCATCACCGAACCGAAAAACCCCACTGAGCAATGGTTGTTAAATACGGTTGCCATGCAGGCACAGCAAGCCGGTATTGGTATGCCAGAAGTCGCAATCTTTGATTCGCCTGATGCCAATGCTTTTGCCACTGGCATGACAAAAAACAAGGCCTTAGTAGCCGTGTCTACTGGCTTATTAAATAACATGACAGAAAAAGAAGCTGAAGCCGTGCTGGGGCATGAAGTCTCACATATTGCTAACGGTGATATGGTGACACTGACCCTGATTCAAGGCGTGCTCAATACGTTTGTCTTTTTTCTGGCTCGTGTCGTTGGTGACATTGTTGATAAAGTCATTTTCAAAACGGAAGAAGGCCGTGGACCAGCCTTCTGGGTGACGACAATTGTAGCCGAGCTTTTCTTGGGTATTCTGGCCTCGATCATAGTGATGTGGTTCTCACGTCGACGGGAGTTTCGTGCCGATACTGGTGGTGCTAGTCTTTCCAGTCATCAGTCCATGATTAACGCCCTCAAACGCCTGAAGTCTCTGCATGAACCGGCGGCTCTGCCAAACGGTCTGACAGCGATGGCTATATCCGGTAAATGGGGTCATGGTATTAAGCAATTGTTTATGTCACATCCGCCACTAGAAAACAGAATTTCGGCGTTGGAATCTACCCGCATACAAAATCCCGCTTAACATGGCATAACGCGACAATGCCGCATGGCGCAATATCACGCTGTATAACATTTTTATCATCATCTCAACAAAAGGAGAATCTCATGAAAAAAACGACTTTGACATTACTGGCTTCAGCCCTGGTTCTATCAGGAGGATCTGTACTAGCAAAATCAGAGCCACGCCCTGCAACACAGAGTAATACAGAACAAACCATTATTAATCAAAACATTACAACAGCAGAGGTCATCAAAGCACAGGAAAATTGGGGTAAAGCACTCATCAGTATCAGTGATACCTATGAAAAAGAAGGCATTAATGGCGCAACACGTGTAGCTGGCCAGGTTCTGGATGCAGCCTATGCCTATAACTTTAACCCTGTACTGTTCAAACCCACACTCGCCAGTGGTGACCAGACCTTCCGACTGACACGTGAAGGTGCCCTCTCCTACTTTGTTGGCAACAACAAAAACTACCCTAATGATCACGGTTTTGCATTAAAAGGCTGGAAACAGTATCGCTTTGAAAATGCTGGTGTTTTAATCAACGGCGACCTGGCATTGACGATGGGCAAAGTGCATATTACTGATAAAAACGGCAAAGTCACCACCGTTGATAAAACCTGGGGGTTTAAAAAAGATGATCAAGGCAACCTACGCATTGTCCTGCACCACTCATCACTGCCTTACACACCAGAGGGACACTAATTTCATTTCCCGATCAATCGTGTAAGCGAAACGACGACGAAGACAGTAAGGCTAAACCGGAAAGGAGTTCTGACGACTTTGGGGGCTATAATGGTTCCTTTAGTTAACTTAAAAGACCTGATCCGGTTGTTTTTTAAAACGTTTTCGTAATGTCGCCACAAAGACCCGATCTAGCCTCGGGCTAATCAGCATCAGTGGCGAATACCCAGTCTGAACAGCACGGTACAGCGTTATTGCCAGCAAAACAGCCGTAATCAGTGTATTTTGCCAGCCGGCTAGGGGCCACTGCCATGAAAACATCATTTCACCTCGGCGACTCCACGGCCCCAAATAATATATTCCCCAGATTTCTGCCGCCGAGTCAACACGTGCCCCATCAGGTCACACAAATAATGTAGATGGATACCCAAGAAACTCAGAACCGCTACCCGCCACTTTTCCTGTGCTAAAGCAGCNCATATCGCTTATGTGGCTGGTATCTGGAACCAGGTTGTTCGCTGGTTGGCGCGACTTAATTTGTCTTTCATTTGAAAGATAAATATTTTGGAAAAACAAAAAATTACTTTGCTGATTGCCTGCGTTCAGTAATAGCTCTCTGCTTTCCAGCAGGCTTATAAAGATAGTATGGTCTGTGCATTTCTCGCCATGTTAAAGTTCTTAAAGACGAACTGGTGATCGTGAACAGAAGAAAGGCGACGGATAAAACAGATTAATTCAAATAACATATTCTAAACATTTAAAATTATGAATAATTCAACAAGAAAAGCCTATCTAGTAGGCGGTGGCATTGGCTCTCTCTCGGCGGCTTTTTATTTAATCAAAGAGGCCGGATTTACTGGAAAAAATATTACCGTCATCGAGGCATTGCCCATTTTGGGCGGTAGCAACGATGGTAATGGCACAAAAAAGGAAGGCTTTGTTTGTCGTGGGGGGCGTGAGCTGAGTTTATATCACTACGAAAATTTTTGGGATTTACTCAAAAATATCCCCTCTTTGGATGTGCCTAACATTTCGTTGTATGATGAGGTCATAGCCTTTAACAAAGTTAATCGTACGCATTCTAATGCAAGGCTGATTGAGAACGGTGCCAAAATTCGGCACGCTCACGATATGGGCTTTAACTTTCAGGATCGTGAAGAACTGATGAAGTTATTTCTTAAGGATGAAAAGGATATAGAAGACGGCACCATTGAAAGCTGGTTCAATCCACATTTTTTTACCACTAACTTTTGGTGGTATTGGCAGACCATGTTTGCTTTTCAGCGTTGGTCTAGTCTGATAGAAATGAAGAGGTACTTGCATCGTTTTGTCAATCTTTTTGAAGGGTTAGATACGCTGGAAATTTTGTCTCGCACCCCATACAATCAATACGAATCGGTTATTTTGCCCCTCAAAGCTGAATTAGACAAATATGGTGTGCAATATATTGTTAATACAACTGTAACTGATATTGAATTTAAAGATGGAGAGGGTATTACGGTTACTGCCATTGTTTACCGGGCCGCTGATGGATCAGAGCAGCGCATCGAATTAGCTGAAAACGATATTTGTATTTTCACCAACGGCTGTATAACGGATAACTCCAACCTTGGCGACTATAAAACACCGGCAAAATATTTACCTGATAATCCACCCTCATTTATGCTCTGGGAGAAACTGGCCAATAAAAAACCCGGTAAACTGGGTAACCCTGAGCCGTTTTGTGGCAATCCTGACCAGACCAAATGGCACTCCTTTACGGCTACGTTTCAGGGTAACCAGATGCTCAAACTCATTGAGGACTATTCCAAAAATCGTCCTGGTACCGGTGCTCTGATGACTTTTGTCGATTCCGGCTGGGGAATGTCCATTGTTGTGGCGGCCCAGCCTCACTTTAAAGCACAGGGAAGTGACACCACTATTTTTTGGGGTTACGGTTTATACCAAGACAATGTAGGCAACTTTGTGAAAAAGAAAATGATTGACTGTACTGGCGAAGAAATTTTGACGGAGTTAATTCACCACCTCAATTTTACAGAGCATGAGCAGGAAATCAAGGACAGTGTTATCAATGTCATCCCTTCCTGTATGCCCTATGTTGATGCCCTGTTTCAGCCCCGCAAAGTAGCTGACCGTCCGCCAGTTATCCCTGAGGGTTCGACCAATTTTGCCCTGATAGGTCAGTTTGTGGAAATTCCTCTGGACTGTATTTTTACGGAAGAATATTCTGTGCGTGGTGCTAAAACTGCTGTGTACGGTCTTTGCGGTATTGACAAAGAACCCCTGCCTGTAACCCGTTACGACAAAGAGGCATCATCCCTGCTCAAAGCCGTTTATACTGCGATGCGGAATTAGAGGTCAAATAATGGTTTTTTTGTTCTTAATTGACATTGAGTTAGGAATAAAGTGACATGGGCGGCCACGGTTTCTAGAAACGGGTAGGCTGCCTAGCCATCATCTGGAGATGAGAGGGGGTTGGCAGTATCCGCAGGATAGGCTATAACGTCAATATAATAGCCATTTATCCTATCTTCTTATGAGTCCTATTACCCATTTTCTGGCCAGCTGGGTCGTTTTTGAGCGTGCGGTCAGGTCGCGACGGGATAAACTGTTGGTTGTTTTGTCTGGTGTGGTTTCCGATCTAGACGGTCTAGGTTTACCTGTTGATTTGGTGAATGATTATCTGATGCGACCGGCCACAACCTGGTATGCGGGGCTGAAACAGGGCATCAACATAGGGCATACAGGAAGGGATGACATTGATAACACTGTCCTTGATTTCCTGCTCATGCTCTGTAAAATTGAGGTGGTGAATTAACTCCGTCAAAATTTCTTCGCCAGTACAGTCAATCATTTTCTTTTTCACAAAGTTGCCTACATTGTCTTGGTATAAACCGTAACCCCAAAAAATAGTGGTGTCACTTCCCTGTGCTTTAAAGTGAGGCTGGGCCGCCACAACAATGGACATTCCCCAGCCGGAATCGACAAAAGTCATCAGAGCACCGGTACCAGGACGATTTTTGGAATAGTCCTCAATGAGTTTGAGCATCTGGTTACCCTGAAACGTAGCCGTAAAGGAGTGCCATTTGGTCTGGTCAGGATTGCCACAAAACGGCTCAGGGTTACCCAGTTTACCGGGTTTTTTATTGGCCAGTTTCTCCCAGAGCATAAATGAGGGTGGATTATCAGGTAAATATTTTGCCGGTGTTTTATAGTCGCCAAGGTTGGAGTTATCCGTTATACAGCCGTTGGTGAAAATACAAATATCGTTTTCAGCTAATTCGATGCGCTGCTCTGATCCATCAGCGGCCCGGTAAACAATGGCAGTAACCGTAATACCCTCTCCATCTTTAAATTCAATATCAGTTACAGTTGTATTAACAATATATTGCACACCATATTTGTCTAATTCAGCTTTGAGGGGCAAAATAACCGATTCGTATTGATTGTATGGGGTGCGAGACAAAATTTCCAGCGTATCTAACCCTTCAAAAAGATTGACAAAACGATGCAAGTACCTCTTCATTTCTATCAGACTAGACCAACGCTGAAAAGCAAACATGGTCTGCCAATACCACCAAAAGTTAGTGGTAAAAAAATGTGGATTGAACCAGCTTTCAATGGTGCCGTCTTCTATATCCTTTTCATCCTTAAGAAATAACTTCATCAGTTCTTCACGATCCTGAAAGTTAAAGCCCATATCGTGAGCGTGCCGAATTTTGGCACCGTTCTCAATCAGCCTTGCATTAGAATGCGTACGATTAACTTTGTTAAAGGCTATGACCTCATCATACAACGAAATGTTAGGCACATCCAAAGAGGGGATATTTTTGAGTAAATCCCAAAAATTTTCGTAGTGATATAAACTCAGCTCACGCCCCCCACGACAAACAAAGCCTTCCTTTTTTGTGCCATTACCATCGTTGCTACCGCCCAAAATGGGCAATGCCTCGATGACGGTAATATTTTTTCCAGTAAATCCGGCCTCTTTGATTAAATAAAAAGCCGCCGAGAGAGAGCCAATGCCACCGCCTACTAGATAGGCTTTTCTTGTTGAATTATTCATAATTTTAAATGTTTAGAATATGTTATTTGAATTAATCTGTTTTATCCGTCGCCTTTCTTCTGTTCACGATCACCAGTTCGTCTTTAAGAACTTTAACATGGCGAGAAATGCACAGACCATACTATCTTTATAAGCCTGCTGGAAAGCAGAGAGCTATTACTGAACGCAGGCAATCAGCAAAGTAATTTTTTGTTTTTCCAAAATATTTATCTTTCAAATGAAAGACAAATTAAGTCGCGCCAACCAGCGAACAACCTGGTTCCAGATACCAGCCACATAAGCGATATGCCGGCAACAAAGTTCACACTTTATCAGATGCTGTCATTCTGTTGTCACAGACTAACCACCATCACGACGCTACTCAAATACGACTGTATCACAAAAAATACCTAAGCTAAAAAGAAAACAGGCTATCAAAATATAACTTACAGAAAAACAAAAGAAAAATAAACTCTGCTAACAAAGGTTGAGTAATTCCATTTCTAAGTCAAAGGTGCAAGCGAAACGACGACGAAAACATTACTGTCATATGGCTAGAAGGAGTGACAACGTGTACATTCTATTTAGAATTGGAACAAAGCCACCGAGTACCGATTGGCAAAACATTATCTTCATTTGTTGAAAAAACTCGTCGGGTAGGTCACCGTGCCCCTTTAGAACAGCAATAGATTAAATTCGAATTTTTTCGAATCAAGTTTAGATCGACTAATCCAAACACGAGGAAAACCTAACGCCATTGAATGAATAATTGTCCTGAATTCGTGAGTTCTGAGTTTGGCAATTGGGCAAAAAACAGAATGCTTTATGATTTATTGAACTAGGCAACCGACGCAAAATCCCTACTTAGAACGATAACTCAAATCCTATACAATAAGGTTTTCGTCATTGTTAACGCACATCAAACCAAAACAATCGGCAATCAATCGGGCCATTATACAAGGGGAACCGTTGGGTTGGTTTTAAGCGCAGTTTATTTTGATACTGCAAGTCACTACTTAAAATATAACAACGCCACCCTTGCATCGATTGTTTCATCTGTGTTGACCACGCAAAAGCAAAATCTGCAGCTTCCTGATTTTTATTGTCATTCTTACCTGACAATGCCTCTGCCTTGGATCCTTCACTTTCTTCTAAAACCACCCTTGTCACACGATGCGTTTTTTGCCCTGCTAACTCAATGCGCTCACCATATGGAGGATTGGTCAACATAATAGCCTGCATACCTTCTGGCAACTGTTCTAACTGAAAAGGTGCTGGAGTTAACCTCGCATCACCCTGCAAGAGTTTGACGGGGTATGAAATCCCTGCTCTTTGTAAATTGGCTTGGGTTATTTGCAGCATTCTTTCGGAAATATCGCTGGCTGCTAACAGAGGCAAATAGGGATTACGATCTTGGTCTAGCAGGGCTTGTTGACGCATTTCTTCTGCTTGCAACTTGAGCCTATTCCATGTTAATTTATTGATATGTTTTAAATTCTCCAGACCAAAACGACGGTTAGCACCAGAAGGCATATTAATACACATTTGCGCAGCTTCCACGATAAACGTGCCGCTACCACACATGGGATCGTAGAGCACCATACCGGGTTGCCAATTGGTCAATCGCAAAATACCGGCTGCCAAATTCTCCTTTAAGGGAGCCTCACCTTTTTCTTGTCGCCAACCGCGTTTGAATAGAGGTTCCCCTGATAAGTCAATGTAGTAATACACTTCGTTTTCATATAAGTGCACATAAATCCTCACATTGGGGTTATGAGTATCAATCGAAGGTCTTGAACCTTTGGTTTCCCTAAATCGGTCAACAATCGCATCTTTAATTTTCAAAGCCGCAAAATTGATACTTTTTAGGGGGCTTTTGCTAGCCGTGAGATCAATCCGAAAAGTTTGAGTTTGGGCAAAATAATTTTCCCATGCAATTTGCTTAGCAAAAGTATATAAATCATTTTCACTTCGATAGATACGCGTCTTGACGAGTTCTAAAACTCGACTTGGGATTCTCGCATGTAAGTTTAAAGCATAGGCTAACGCCTCATCACTCCGAAATCCAACGCCACCGCGTCCAATATCCATAGACATGGTACCTTGTGTATTCGATGGCGCAAATTTCTCTGCAATTTCATTAATTTCCGCAACTAAGGCTGTTTCCAATCCGCTAGGGCACTGGCAATAATATTGATTGATCATGTTGATAAATTTATCGATGAATGATTGTTCCAATTGTCAATAGAATGCGTACTCTCTCATG